CCTAGTTTGTGAAAACTGATTAAAAGTGGACGTAGGCCAATTATGTGAGGGTAGAACAGACCTTTGTTTAAATGTTTTCAACCTTTTCATTCCCATTTCTAAGGTGCTGAGCCCTGGTCTCTTTCAGTGTATTCCAGAGATGGATCAGTCTTTGCCCTCCCCCTCTAAGCTCTATCAGAAGCCTTTGATCGTTACACTGTTTATCTGTGCTCACTCAGAGGCAGCAAAGCAGTGTGATAAGTGGGCTTTGCCATGTGCATGTGTTGTGGGTGTTCGTCTGTTCATGGACATAGAGGGTGGGGGTTACATGTTCCCATACCTCCCTCTCTCAAACCCAGTTTACACAGACAAAAAAAAGGCAGTACAGCAAGTTCCCTGCAGGAAGATTACCTCTTGTGCTTTAGGGCTACAGAGAGCTAACCTGCTGTTCTGAATAGGGATTGGAAAGAGACTGCCCATTTATGACAATGTCAGCAAAATAAGCTTGGCATTTAAAAGCAACACTGACAATTACACTTATATTTTTATTCAAATATCTTAAAACTCTTATACTTTCAGAAATATAAATGAGGAAATGCTCTTGTAAAAACAATTCATATAGACTTGTACACCACAAGCTCTAAGGGCTATTGCACAGCAGTTATAATAAGCTCTGTCAAAAGTTACACCCGCTCACAACATAACATACTTGGCTGCCAGTAAGTAGATCTAATCAAGATGCAAAATAAGTAGACATGGCAGCTGCATTTGACATCCTCTTTTTTTTCTTCTTCTAACTTTTGCTGTCACTGTTCTGAAAAATCACGAGTGTATTCTTTGTGTGATTTGCAAGTTTTAAGAAGTAAAAATGCTTGTCCGCTTTTTAAAGGTCAGCAGTATTAGCGCTATTCTATACTAGAGTACCAAGGTTTACCAAGGTCCATGGTTTGTCAAGAGACACTTAATAAATGTGCCTAAGTTACTCCCAGCCATTAAAAATGTTTTAGTCAGTATTTGTGAGGATTAGATCAGAGTTGCTTTGGAAACCAGTCCATTTGACCAGTTAAGCAAATTTGTCGCTTGCCAGTTTAATCTGTTATAGCTTATCAGTAGTGATTTTTGTGATGTAATTACAAAGAGGAATTAGCTGTCTTGGTACCGTGAGTAAACAATGCAGCTTCTGTTCTACAGTATGTACGTCTAACCAGGTGTTTCTGAAGAAGACTGCTCTACGAATGGAAAATATTCCAGGATCACGGATTGTTTATGGTTCAGACAGACCAGCAGAATCGTGAGTTGTGCTTATGGAAATGATCTAGCTGTTAACCTGCAACCAGTCATCTTTCAGTTAACCAGTTCAGGGTCGCAGGGGTGGGGGCATGGATTAAAGCCTGAAAATGGTTGGACAGCATCAGTGTCTGACTGGTCTACTTTCAGTGGTTATTGTTGGGATAAATAGAAAAGTGCTGCCACAGTTTGAATGAGGTTAGATGAGCAGTTCTTGGAAAATGTGTAGTGACAGGTGATTATGATGTGAAGTCCCATGACTTACCTACATCAGTGTTGTTGTTCTTGTTGTTTTCTATAATTATTAAGTCCTAACAATGCATTTGTCTTTAAACATTACTTACTGGAAAATGCCTTGCCTAACCAGTATATCACCTTTCCCTAAAGGCTTAAATAAGAGACATACCAAAGCGCTTTTAACCACTCCAACTGTAACAGGAAAACACCATCCTGTTTACCACCTTAGCATGATAATTATTTACAAACAAAGCAAATGCACTCTTTTAAAATGTATTTTCTAGATGTTTGTCACAATCATTTAAAAACGTACTGCTGCACTACTGCTATTATGCTAATGTTGCATCATGTCACCCAATTATGGTGTATGATTTTTTTTTTTCTGTTTTTATTTTACTGTAAGGACTGTGTGTGAATGAGGAAACTATCCCAATCCTGAGTCATTTTCATCTCCCCAGAGTATTTGTCAGCGTTATATTAACTACGCATTAGTCCAGTGATGAAATGAATCCATGCCATAACCATTTTATATGTATGCTTGAATAAAACTACTGATTCTACAGTTAAGAAGCATTGCTATAGAGTGATTAAATTAATGCATGTCACAGTCATCTTTTTTTAATTTGAGGTCCAGTATGAGCAGCTTTTGATGAATAGAATCTATTAATATTATAACAGTGCCTTAGCAATTGCATGATGATTAGCTACAGTACTAAAATATTAAGACAGATCTCTGATATTTATTTTTTTTTGTCTAAATGGGTTTTATTGAGTAATTTAAAAATATAATTAAGCAATCGATCCTAGACTTGAGTTATACAAGTTATACGTGGAGCCATATCAACCGCTATACAATTTAAAGGCCTAGTTAGCACGTGCTAATGGGGCGAAAGCTGTAATATTTGAAGCATGCTCAGATAAGGAAATGCAAATGTATCAGAGTAACTGAGCTTCAAATATTTATGGCGATCAAGTGGCCTCTGATTTTAAAAAAGAGGGGTTGGGGGGAGAAACTCAAGTATGAACCTAACCATGGTTTTGGAGTCTTGTTACACCCCTTATGATGATTGATGAAAGCAGCCATATCAAAGGCGAACCAGTTAGAATGGGTGCATCCTGAATGGGCACAGAACTAGTTTTTATATAATGATCATCTATACCTGAGAGCTGCATTTTATTTTATTTTTTTTAATTTATTTATTTATTTTCTGGGACAGTTGCTACACAGGTGCTAGACCTTTTGGCAGTTCATGTATTTTCAATACTGTTTGAAAATTAAAAGCATGTAAACAAGTTTAGGTGAGATGAGATGTTTCAGTGAGTCTATAAACCCTTTAAAGAGGGTCTGCTGTGGATTGAGGAGTCCAGCTGCTGGGCAGTCCTGAGGATATATGTGTATCGGCTGGCTGACAGATTCATACAGGGCCATTCTTTAACCCAACCTATTTGTAGCCTGATGAAACCGTGGCAATCCACACACAGGTTTTAACAACAGGAATGTTTTCCTTTCCACTTGCTGTTAGCACTTTTACTTTTTGATGGAGAGAGGGAGAGAAGGTGCCTTTCCCTGAGGTTTAGTCTGGTTTTTAAAATACCCATCTTTGCTTTTTTATTTTATTTTATTTTTTTCAAACTAAACACACCACAGGTCTTTGTCACAATGTCTGTGCAGTGCCACCTTGACACAGGTAAACACAGACATGACCGGCTGTGATTCACATCCTGATTATAAGGATTCAAGGGCCGGCGATGTCTCAATCAGCCTGAAAACAACAAATGTTTTGTCCTGTTATTCTATCAATTCTCATGACGTATAATAACTCAAAGTGTTTTATTTACATCATTGTATTGTTTGTGTTATTACTTCTCAGTTGGTCAATTCAATTGATTAGATTTCTAATTCACTTTCCCATTGATTTCACCAAGTTGGTTAACTTTAACACCAGAATATCCTTAAGTGTTTTTCAACTAATGACACGTATTGTCCTATCAATATTTTGCTCTGCACTTGTGCTGGTAGTACTAGGAAAAATGGCTTACGCATTGCTGTATAATCCAGCTTTGATACTCCAACCTCAACCCGCATGGCAGGTGAAGAAATGTTTTTCCTGTTCTCAG